TTTTAAACTTTGTATGATATTAAAATTATCAAGTACCACTTTTTGTAATAAATTTTGCACTAACTCCAAGTTCACTGCATCACTTTTACTTGATGCTTCTGCTACATTCCGTAATTGTCTGTATTCAATATCATAATGTCCTTCAGATGTAACCTTGAAACCAATACCGGGAGGTCCACGTATCGAATTATCAGTTTTCTTAAAAGAACGTCCAAATACATCGAGAGACATTGTTGCACTAATACACCTTGTAGTCAGCAGTCATTTGATAAGTAAATAAAATTAAGATCCTACTTTGTCTTTCCCTGAATTTTATCAATTCTATTCTCTAAATGAGAAATAATATCAGAATTTATACGCACAGAATTTTTTAAATCTGATATGTCTTCTTCAAAGTTTCTAAAAAATTGTTTATTAATCTTAAATTCTAAACGTCTAATTAATTGGAGTGTGTCAGTAATTTGTTTTCTTAAAATTGATAAATTGTTATACGTTTCTTCCATGTCTTTTTCTAATAAATTTTTAACCAACTCTAAAGTTACGTCATCCTTTGCTTCAAATACTTTGCTTTTATTAAAAGCACGTCCAAACACGTCGAGAGACATTGTTTCAACTGATTTTTTTAATAAATAATGTTGGCTTCTCGTAGTTCTTCAATAATGGATAAAATTTCATTTGAATGACTTGAATTTCCCGCTTTCTCAGAGGCTAATATTAAACGTAATCGATCGACTAATTCATTTGGATCATCCCAGTATACATAGTCAAATTTACTTTCTTCTTTTGCCAACATGTATGGTGGTATAACATTTCCACCTGAAGTACTTTGTCTTTTACCACCACTTTTTCTTGAAATAGAAATTAATTTTTCAATAAATTGTTTAAATTTAAATGATTTATTCTCGCGAATATCACCATCAGCTACATAGTGTTTTCTATGAGCATTTGTTGAGAGAATTATTGTCTTGAAATTTGCAAGATCCTCTTTATTTACAATAGACTCATTTGGCACTTTTTTAAAAAGAAGCTCAAGTAATCCTAAACTACTGGCAAAACTTGAATTACCAATACGAATATAATTCTGATCAAAACTTATTGCAGAATCACCAATCATTATTCTATCTTTCGCTAATTTACGTACACCATATACATTGTCAAGCTCCTTATTTCTTTTATTCAACATTATCAGATATTTTTTCGTTTCCTCTTCTAGTACTGGTGAAAAAGACGCTGATGAAAAATGTTGTTCTTCTTTAGAAGATGAGTTTTCTAAAAGTTGTGTTGGATCCTCTTCAAATGTCGCTGATTTAAATGATTCTTCATTTATATTATAATCATCATCATCATCATAATCATCATCATCATCATCATCATTGTCAGAATATCTCTCTTTTTTCGTTTCATTTTTTATATTTTCTCTTTTAATTGTGTCCACAGTTTTAAGTATTTCAATGTCATCAACCAGTTTCTCCAAAGGATTAACAATAGGTTTAAAAGTATCCCCTAGTGCCTGTTCAAAGGACTCTTTATCTAATTTCAACAATTTATGTTTATGACGAATTGCCTGGCTAGCTTTTGCTAAGTGCTGTGCTATATCTTTCTGTTTGTGAATTTGTTGAATTCTCAAAGATGATGACATCTTGATTGAGTCAGATCTCAAGTATTACTAATCAAAGAGGCTATGTAAAAATTCTTTTAAGTATCAGAAATTTTTATAAAACAATCAAAACCTTTTCTATATCTACCACAATTTAATTCACTATCCTTGTCAATAACAACAAAACCATATTTATCACTGTTCCAACAATGTGAACACAATTCTCGAAATTTGTTATACAACATATCTGTGTTTACATGATCTTCATATATGTGCTTAAGATTTAAATCATCCTGCTTGAAAATGATCAAAAAATTCACATTATCGCGAATTAAATGTTTTGTAATTCGTGTATAAGTTTGACACAAATAAAAACAATCAATGAGTCTATGGCGACCCATAGAAAAAAATTCGCGTATTCTGTCTTGCTTATCACAGGCAACATTGTCAAATACAATTGTAGAATTTGGTTGTGCTTCATTCGGTTGAATAACTTCCTCATGTTCTTTAAATGGAAAATACTCAATACCATCAACTAGTTGAAGAGTTTTCTCTAAAAATTTATATTTTGGTTGACTTAATGATTTTGAGAAGATGTAGACATTTTCAAAGCGAAGTCCATTTGGATGTAAAAGTAAGGCGAGTAACGCATTTGTTTTTCCACAATTGGATGGTCCACAGAAAATTGCACGTACGGTATTTGGCAGTAAATTTCCATGACGCTTTCTTTCAGACTTTTTATGTGTTACATTATCAAAATCTGTCACAGGAAGTTTTATATTTTGCGTTTTAAACTCCATCATTTGATCTGAACTGAGGTAAAAAGTATAAATACATGGGTTTTAATAGATACGTGGTCAGTTCATCGTAGGCTGCTGTGACAAGGTGATGTTGAAATGCTTGTACGTACACATAGGTTGTTTATGTATTGGCTGCATAACCTAATGGTTGACACGTTCACGTAGAATGATTATGTATTGGCTGCATAACTTCACCACTGATAGATCTTCAAAGAGGAGAAGCGCAAAAAATAGAAAACAACATTCCAGTTTAGAGCATCAACATGAAATGACCCAGACTGGTATAAATACCTTGTTTTTATACATTTTCTCCTTCAGTCTTCAAAAGAATGTCAAACGATTATTATTAACATGTGTGTAAAGAAAAAATCAATCAGTTCAAAAATATCTGTCAAACGTGGAAGAGGCATTTTCAATAGAATTATTAACAAATTGCCTATTGAATTGCATGTTCCTGGTTATCAGTATTGTGGACCTGGAACTAAATTAGCAAAACGATTGGCACGTGGTGATCCTGGTATCAATCCACTAGATCAAGCTTGCAAAGAGCACGATATTGCTTATTCTCAAAATAGAAATAACGTTGAGAATAGACACGCAGCAGACAAAATACTCGCTGAAAAAGCTTGGAGTCGAGTACACGCTAGTGACGCAAAAGTTGGTGAAAAAGCAACAGCTTGGGCAATTACTAACGCTATGAAAATGAAAACAAAGATGGGAATGGGTTTAAAATCAAAAAAGAATAAATCTAAGAATAAGAAGAAAAGAAAAAATAAAGCAACACATCCATTAAGAAATATTGTACTAGCAGCAAAAAAATCTATTGTTCCTGGTAATGATACCTCATCAGCTATTAAGTCAGCTCTAAAAGGGGCACGAATAGCTGTGAAAATCGCAGGTGGAAAAAACAAAGTAAAGCAACCTCGAATTTTACCAGTACCAAAAAAAGTTGGTGGTTTTTTACCATTTCTTGTGCCGATTTTCGCTGGTCTCAGTGCAGTAGGGGCTCTATCTGGTGGAGCTGCTGGAATTGCAAAAGCCGTTAATGATGCAAAAGCAGCGAAAAAACAACTTGAAGAAAGTCAACGACATAATCAAACAATGGAGTCCATTGCTCTTGGTAAAGGGCTTTTTTTAAAGCCATACAAACAAGGATTGGGATTAGAATGTTCTGCTAAAAAAAAAGCAAAAAAAATGTAAAATTACCACAACGAGCATTGACTAATTACGATTTACTTAAATATGCTAAATTGTTAAAAATTCCTAACTTTCGAGGAGTTTTCATGCGTGATAATTTACCATTTATGGGACCATGTAAGAATGAAACAGCTATAGTTAATTTAGATAATAAAAATAGTGCTGGCACACATTGGGTTGCCTATAAAAAAATAAAGAATGATGTTATATATTTTGACAGTTTTGGAAACCTTCGACCACCTACGGATCTTGTAAAATATCTCAGTGTTGATAATATCAAATATAATCATAAAAGATATCAAAATTATGACACTTTTGTTTGTGGTCATTTATGTTTAAAATTTCTCTGTAATCAACTTGAGTTAAAAAATGTATTTTCCCTGTTTAAATAAAGACTAGTAAAAATTTTATATCTCAGTTTACATTGAACCCTCAAAATGAACGATTCATTAACCTTAACATTGTCTGGAAATTCTTCAATTTTGGAAGCACACTATTTTCCACCAATTGAATTGACTCCAAATAAAAATTATGTTCTTGGACTTGTTGAATTTCTAACCTTTAATTCGATTCCAAATGTAGATATTGGAAATAATAAATTTTACGTCGGTGACGAAGAAATCACTATACCGACAGGTAGCTACGAAATTGATGATATTCAACGCTATCTACAGCATGTTTTAAAACCAAAAGGAATTAATCTTCACATTAAACCAAATAACAACACATTAAGGAGTGAAATTTTGTGCAATAGTGACATTAATTTTAAAAAACCAAATTCTATTGCACAATTATTAGGCTTTAGGCAACAAATACTGAAAGCTGACATATTCCATCAATCTGATTTACTAGTGTCTATTATAAAGCTGAATTCATTAAGAATTGAATGTAATATTACAACAGGTGCATATATTAATCATAAAAAGGTGCACACAATTCACGAATTTTTTCCCACTGTACCACCAGGATATAAGATAATTGAAGTACCCTCTCAAGTCATTTACTTACCAGTTGCTGTCAAGACAATAGATCATATTCAATTGCAAATCATTGACCAAGATGGGCATATTGTGAATTTTCGTGGTGAAACTATTACTATAAGATTACACATTAAGAGGTTGTAAAATAGAAGAATAAAATTATGGGTATTGTATTTAATCAAAAAGTTGGCTTTGGTTATTATATTAATAATAATAACTCTGTAGGATGTCAAAAAAGATTCAGTTACAAATCTTCAGTCAAGGTGTTAACACCGCAGAACATTCAACTATTGAAGAGTCTAGGATTAAAAGTGATAGAGCAGAAAAAGCAAAAAAGAAGGTGAAAATAAAAAGATTTAAATTTGTATGCATTTGCTTTGTTGGTTTCATCTATAGACATCTAATATTCTGTAAAAAATAAAAAAAATGGAGGACGACTTGCTAAGTATTGCAAAACCAATTGTTTATGATGAATCCATTGCTCATTATGAAGTCCATGCTCATTTACCATATGCTTCATCAACATTCAATAATAGTGATGAAATTCGAATTGCTGTTCAAAATCAAGACCACTGTCTTTTACCAGGAAAAAACTCACTTCATATACAAGGAAAATTAACAAAAGAAAATGGGACACCAGTCACCAATACTAGGCTTATCATGAACGCCATCTGTCATTTATTTGAGGAAGCTCGTTATGAGCTAAATGCTGTGGAAATTGATAAAAACAAAAATGTCGGTCTTACGAGTCTCATGAAAAATTACATTTCAATTTATGGTACTCAAAGTAAATTTTTAGAAAATGCAGGTTGGTTTCCCACATGTGATGCAAATACTCCATTAGCTGATAATAATGGTAATTTTGATATTTCAATTCCACTAAGCGTTATTTTTGGTTTTGCTGAGGATTATCAAAAAATTATTGTAAACGCGAGACATGAATTCATTTTAACAAGATCGAGAAATGATGTTAATGCAATTTTGCAAACTGCTGAGGAACTTGTGAAAATTTCCATTGATAAAATTGAATGGTTGTTACCTAATGTACGCTTATCTGATTCACGAAAATTCAAATTGCTAAAATACATTGAAAAAGATCCACTAATTCCAATTAGTTTTCGAACCTGGGAATTATATGAATATCCTCTGCTACCAACAACCGCGAATCATGTGTGGACTGTTAAAACATCAACGCAATTAGAAAAACCTCGTTTTGTAATTCTAGGCTTTCAAACAAACCGAAAAAATGTAACAACGCGAAATGCTAGTCACTTTGATCATTGTAGAATTACAAATGTTAAATTATTTTTAAACAGTCAGTGCTATCCATATGGTAATCTTAACCTTGATTTAGATAAAAAACATTATGCTGTACTGTATGAAATGTATACAAACTTTCAAGCTAGTTACTATGATAAAGAATGTCAACCATATTTAACGAAAGGTGAATTTCTCGATTTTGCACCATTAATAGTAATTGACTGTTCAAAGCAAAATGAATCTCTAAAATACGGCCCTGTTGACATTCGACTTGAATTTGAAGCGAAAGAAAATTTTCCTAATCAAACATCTGCATATTGTCTCATTTTGCATGACAGAGTAGTAGAGTACAGACCAATCAGTGGTGGAGTAAAAAAAATCATTTAAAAATTACTAAAAAAAGGTAAAAAAAATTACTAAAGACAATATTACTAAAAAAAATGAAGAATATAAATAATCCTACTTTTGTCTTATTAATTCAGTAACAGTCAAGATGGATTATGTAGTAGACCTTCAAGGTTTTAAATCACCTACAAATCAATTTATTTTAAAAGAATTGGCTATAACACCGCTTGAAGAGAACATAACCAAACCCTTTAATTTTCTCTTTCAATCACCATATAAATGGATATATATGAAACCACAATACCAAAATATTAACCGTTGGTTGGAAAAAAATTTTCATTGTCTATATTGGAATGATGGTGATATTCCTTTCGATTTATTACCAACTATTTTAAATAAAACATTAAAAAATGCACGTACAATTTATGTAAAAGGCCTAGAGAAGAAGAAATGGTTACAAGATTTATGCACTACGAAATGTAAAATAAACATTGTTGATATGGCGGACTTGAGCTGTCCATCTCTTCGACAATTAGTTTTTTTATCAGACAATATGATACCATGTAAACATCATCATTATCATAATCGATGCATTGACCTGAGAAACGTAAATTGTTCTGTACGTAATGTGATTATGTTAAATGATTGGTTATTTAAAAATTTATTAAACAAGAAAAAAAATGAGTCCGATTATTGGATCTCTATGAGTTACAAAAAAATCACAGCAATTTAATTCTATCCGTCGCTTGTAGTTATTTTATTGTAGTGTGTGTGTGTGTGTAAATTTTTGTAATATAAAACTGCTTTATAATTATTCTGATTAACATTTTATTAGATGGCAAGATTTTTTTTAAGACAAAATGTATTTTTTTTAATTAAGAGAAAGAAAGAAGAAAATTTACTTTCCTTGTGTACTTAAATATATACATAACATAATTACTATTAATTTAAATAATGTTCTAATTTTTTAAAATAAATACTTGAAAAAATGTAAAATTTATATGTATTTTTTATTCTATTACCTTAACCAAAAAAAAATGAAAAAAATTTGAAAAGAAATGGTGAAAATATAAAGGTTTTAAAAGCTCAATGCAGTTTGTAGGTGCTCAGAAGTGGTGATGAGCGGGCAGGGTGACCGCAGGTGGTGAGGAAGCGGGGGACGAACGTAAGAGGCAAAGCATTGCCTTGAGAGGAGAGCGGAGTGACGGGGTGGCCAAAGAAGCTGAGGAAGCGAAGGACGGACGAAGAGAGTCAAGCGCTGCCTGTAACAGTGAAGAGGATATACGAAGACGGCCTAGCATAGAAAGAACGTGCATCACAGTACACTGTGAGGGGAGAATTTTTATGTGACATTTTTACGATCACATTTGAATTAGACCATTTTACTGCTGACTTAACGACTAGACGATTAGAGTAAACCACAAACATATTTAAAAAAAAATAATTATTTTTCAACTTGTTTAATTGTTATATAAAAAATTATTTAATTAAAAATTTTTCTTTTATTTATACATTAATTATTATGTTTTTTTAAATTTCATCAATTTTTTTTATTATTCTTGCATGCTTTATGTAAAAAATATTAAAAATTATTTACTATTATTTTTTTAATATAATTCTTTTTCAAAGATATTAATTTATTAGCTGAAATTTTTTTCTTATTAACATTTTTTTACAAACTTAATTTAATTTAAAAAGAAAAATTTATATCCACTTACCTTGAATTAAATGCGAATTAGTAGTCATGTTAAATAATGTTTTTTTTTAATTTAAGTAGATTTGTTATTATTATTATTTATATATAATTTGTAGTATAAATTTTTTTTAATATAAATAGATTTTTCTTTTAATTTTTTCTAATTTAAAAAGGATTAAGATCACGCATAATATTAAATTGGGTAAATGGAAAACAAAAATTTTGAAACATTAAGAAAAAGATGATTTAAAACAAATTATCAGATTTATCTGTTAAAATTATAAATAACAAAAGTTATTTAGAAATTTTACATATAAATTCTAATTATTTGTTGAATTATTATCATCATCTTTTTCTGATAAAATTTTTTGTTACAATTTGTTCTTTATTTGTGCACAATTTTACAATTTTTGCAAAATTTTACAATTTTTGACATTTTTTAATTTGTAAAAAGAAATTTTTTTTAAGATCAAACATTTAATGAAATTTTTTTTAAAAGAAAGACATAATGTCAACTAATAAGAATTAATTTTTTCAAAACTGTAAACGCCGCCGACAAAGACTAATTTTGCAGTTATGTCTGCAAGTACAGTTACAACATTTACTGTTGATCCTTCTGCTGAAAGCATTTCAGTGGCATGGTACACCTCAATAGCGTTAAGACACAGCGTCATCAGCGAATCATAGGTAAGTTCTAGGACCCACTCTATGGGTACAGATATCTCGTGGTTAATCATGACGTACTCCATGCTGTAAATATTAAAAAAAACAGATCTAAGACAAAAATTATACTTTTTCTTTAATTTGTATAATTATTTTTTAAAAGATTAGTGTAAAAATGAATTGAAAAAATATTTTAATTTAAAACTTACTCTGTATCTTGGAGAGGACTGTAATTAATTGGTTCGTCTCCAGCCATCTTCTTCTTCTTCTTTTTCTAGTTGTACCTAAGCATAAAAAATTTATTGAAAAATTATTTTAATTAAATTAAATTAAATTAAAATTTTAAATTAAATTAAATTAAATTAAATTTTTAATTTAATTATTTTATTTAATTTATTGACGCAAGAATAATCATAAAGGAAAAGTAATTTAAAATTGAATAGTATATTTTAAATTACTTTTCCTTTATGATTATTCTTGCGTCACACACAGTTATAGAGAAAACACTATTTTGACAATTAAGTACTTAAATTATAGCAAAAAATTCATATCTCACTATTTTGATAAATTTGTTTGAGATTGATATTAGCTGATCTCACCTTTGTATTTTTGTACAAGAGATAAATATTCTTCATTTATGTACAAAAATACAAAGGTGATATCAGCAAAACATCAATCTATCTAAAAAGTAATAAAACATCTTTAATTTTTTTGTAATACTTTAAGTATTTAGTTGTAAAGCAAATAGATTTTTCTATAACACAGAATCAAGTATAATCAAAATTTTTTTTTTTTAGAAAAAGTAATTAAATTGGATTGTATTTTAATAAATTTTTATTCTTACTGGAATAAGTTTTGTATCTTCTTCTTCTTCTTCTTCTTCTTCTTCTTCTTCTTCGCTTTTCACCACCACCACAGACACCAACACTGATAAATTCCTAAGCATAAGATTTGTTAAAAAAATACAATTGAACTTTATTTATTGTTTCTAAAATAATTAATATTATGTCACAGTTATATGTAAACAATTAAAACTAAATTTATTCATTGAGTATTTAAAATTGGTCGAAAGCAACATCGACTCTGCGCATTCAAATATGCACCTTTCTTGGTGAGCTCTATTTAAAAGCGCAGAGTCGATGCTGCTGACAAACAATTTAGAAAAGAAATTATTTTTAATTGTTTCCTTATTAATGAGGCACAGTATTAATTATTGTTGAATATCAATAAATTAATTTAACCGAATTCTTAACTAATCTTATGCTTACACTTTACTTTTGAGACTTTTTTTTCTTCTTCTTCCTACAAGATCTTCCTTCAAACTGGAGTACCAAAATGAGAGAAGTAGGGCTCATTTGACTAAGTGGGGATTATACCCCCAAAAAAGCTTTTGTATTGTTTCAACCTTTGATGAATGAAAACCAAGTCGAGAAAATTCTACGTAGAATTTCACAGAAATATATTGAAGAAGTAGGGATTGTAATTAACGCTTTAAAGTTATGGGAATTGTGTGATGTCAAAAATATAAATCACAGTTCTAATTTATATTTTACGAGCATGTTTAGTTTTATTTCTTTTCATAGCCCCACGGATATGTATCGGTATTTGAGGGTGCTAACACACGCTTATCGTCTTTCCAGCTTAGAACAATCTTTCTTTGTTTTATAGTTCGAACTTTATGCTTACAGCTTCGAATCGAAAATTGAGTTTTAATCAAATTTTGATGGAAATTTAGAGAATGCTTATAGGCAATAAATGTTATTGTTTTTAGTGTACTTTTTTTTACACCTTTAGCTTTCTTATTTTCCGAATTCAATTGAAAAATTTTAAATGCATACAATTTTGAACGTAAACCTATAAATTCTTCAATATTTTTTCCACAACATTCATCTTTCATTAAACCTAAAACTTTTTTATTACAGAGTGGTAGACCGTAAACATTATTTGGTGGATAGTCAGAGGTGTCAAGTTTCTCAATATTTTGCTTCATACATTGATAGAAATCAGGAACTTGAATTTCATATATCAAACTGTCAGTATCAGTGTAAAGCAATTTTACCTTATCACCAAAATTTTTTTTTATATAATTATAATGAAAATCGTATGTAATAATTTTTGAAATATCTAAAACAGTTAAACCTGCATATATTGGTTTATTAAACGTAATTTTCAATTTATTCATTTTAATAATAACCATATCTTCATCAAATACGGTGCAACTATGAAAATTTGGTTTACCAATAAGTGATCTCGCACCATAACGCCCTTCCCATTTTGTAACCAAACGAACATCTTTATATTTTCGAACATTTTCCATAGTTTTACCAAAAACTGAATTATTCATTAATTTATAAAAATTTTTTTCAAACTCGTTAGTGGATTTTTTTTTCATTTCAGTGTTTAAATCAATGTAACTCTTTAACCAAGGCTTTTGTTTAAATTGAAGAACTCTATGAATTTTTACTAATTTCATACCTTAATCCAAGTATAATTTTAAATTTCTATAGTGTAAAATGTACTGCTTTTTATGATAAAGAGTTGTCATTAATTTCGGAATTTTACACTTTGAATTGGGTGGTACAAAGTGTTGTGGACAAAGAGGTAAATCCTTATGTAAATCATGTAATTCAACAGGATATTCTAAATCAACTTCAAGAATATATCCAATTAATGACTCATCAGA